AAATTAGAATGAACATACCTGTTGCTACCAATCTTAGCACCATTAGAATCCTTTGCAAGAACCTCAGCTAACCATTTTCTCAGATTAAGATGTGACTTACGATTTGTTAAGTCATGGACTAAAATTAAGCCTAAAAGGAAGAAAGAAAACATTTAACACAAACTTCAAAAGACCATATTGTACTGTAATGTTATTATGATAAACAATACTTTTTTTTGGAGATGGAGTCAAATGCTTATAGATCAATAATGTTGATTATTTACTTACCGTGAACTGGGTTAAAAAATATATGTCTACTCTTAGTGTGATTAGCTGAACCGCCAACATCCCAAAATTCTAGAAAATATGTTTTCTGAGAGGGTGTGCCTTCTTTGTATTCATGTACCTGCACAAAAGACAAATAAACACAGGTTGTGGTAATTTGAAATATACCTGAAATTATCTCACCAAAACATACATTTCATTAATTAGTAAAACTCACTTATATTTACTGCGACTGCATGAAAGAATGGAATGGCAATATTGCAGTATGAGACACTGTTTTGCTAATGATATAATTCACCTTAGCAATAACAGTCCAATATACATGTAATCATAGATGTAGATAACAATTTAGATCTTTCCACCTCTCCCTCGTGGGTAGATTTATAATTATATAATTTTTAATGGGACAGGTTTTCAGGGAAGTGACAAATTGCAAATGTTGTAAAAACCAGTTTCGTACAACGAACAACTAAACAACAAAATATTAGTGGCGATATTCCTGCCGAAATCAAGTTCCTTTTAGATCACAACTTCCTTAAGCAATGTCAACAAATATTGGTTCCTTGAATGCCAATATTAACGCAGACTAAATTGGGCATTCATGTTTCAACCACTGGTTTCACCATATTTTCTCAGTATCGTGAATGGCCCATAGACGTTGCAAAATTGTAAAGTGTGACGGTTGAGAATACTAGTTTATGAAAAAGAGAGAAGATGAACCTGTCATCAATTCTTAATTTCAACACTTTAATAATAGACCCTACATCAATAGATGGCATATTCAAATTCACACTTCATGTTCGTTCCCTCACCTTGACATCAACCGCAGCACCTATCGTCCATGATGCATTGGCAATTGGTTCTGAATGACACACTAAATGAACTAGAGATGATTTTCCAACTCCTGGGAAAAAAAAAATAACAATTATATATTAAATCAACTTAATCAACAGCATGGTATGAGCACCATACGGCCATTTTGAATTGGCTCGTCAAACCAATAATACATCTGTATATCTGTGACACAATGTATAATTAATATCCAAAATTTGAACATAATCAGTCAAAGCATGTCAGAGATACAATGTATGGCACTAGAACCGCATACATTAAAACAAAATGGCCAACAGTCAGCCACTCTGAATCCTATCTGAAAAACACAATGATCTGCATCAAGGTCTCATAATGTCCACTGTGTGTATCAAGTTTCAACAAAATCCATCTGTAAACAAAATCTGGTTCCGGAATACCAGAAATGCTTGATTTCGATGATTATTCAGCACACAAATGGCCGCCATTCAGCCATCTTGAATCAAATTTGGAAACAAATAGATGTGCTAATGTATAATATGATGCATGTGTGAATTTTGACTGTAATCAGTCTAGGCAATATTGCATATTTCTAATATAAGCGTTGTTTTGTTTTGTGGGAGAGCGAGTAGATGTATGTTCAATGTAGTTGTGAATAGTGGATGTCCAGTGTTCTCCACAATCAAAAATAGCTGGTGGGCGGCCTAATTAGCATAAATTTGCATATTAATTTGCATATCATTTACATACAGCATTCTAGCATTTATGTCATGAACTGCAATACACAATACAAGTTATTTACAACTCTTTTTTTAATTTAATTGAAACATGTTACAAACAGATTGGTCACTATTAATATTTACGAAATGCAATGAAAACGGTGATTTATACGTTCGCAAATTATTCTGCGTTCATGAAATGCAATTCGAGTAACCAAGAGCAAGTACAATGTAGAAAATATACGAGGTGATTTGTCCCCAACGCCAAAACGGGCGATTTGTCAAAATAAAACTCATTTTTTATTTGTGGCATCAGTACTCACCCGTGCAGATGGACGGTAAGATGCATTTACGCATGTATGGTCACGATACGTTGCGTTTTCACACGTTGTTTTGGAATTAAAGAAAAAATGCTAGCAATCGGCAAAATAAAAGAATCTGCTTTGTTCTCGAAAGATTAGACATAAAAAATGGATAAATTGAAAAAAGTATGTGGAAAAGATAACTAAAATATTATTCAATTACAAATACACGCGGTAAACTAATCCGGCAGCCATGTTTGATGTTTATTACCGCTTTCCGAATTCAGTACACGAACACCCAGAATGCACTGTTCCCCTATGCAACTTAGATACTAAATCGTTACAGCGTCAACAGCGGTGGGTGGCTGATGGTCGTTGAATGGGGTAGGCCAAAAGGTAACCAGTTTGCCTTCTCCATGCTGTTTTTACGATGAAAATTGAGCGAACGTTGTAAATACGGCTAGAATTTTAATTTTTGTTCGAGTTTACATGCAGTCTGCTAATATATTTGTTTATTTTCTGTGCATATACATTTCGTTCCTATTTACTCTTTCTTTCGTGATCGAAAGACGATTATTAAAAATACAGCTGTAAATTGAAACCACTGTAGTTGCGTATCGTGAGCAATGAGTGGCAACAATGTCGGGCGACAATGAATTCAGGCGATTGACACTTTGCCATGAATACACTTGTTAACTGCTTGCAGACTTCCAGTGGTCATTGTTTATGTTTGGACTCTTGGAACAATAGCAAAATAAAGGGTTGGGCAACTACTCTTTTGTTTAGGCTTGGGAAGAACAATGCAAGCTTTTACAAATAATTTCAGCTGGATGTACATTGGTGGGCGGGTGTTGAGAGTTACTAGGTGGCCGTAAAACTTGATGGCCCACCTAAAACCCTTTTGTGGAGAACACCGATGTCTGTTCGATGTGATAAAATAAATAACACGTGGTGATTCAAGCAATATCACTATATTTGTTGTCTGCCCTCGGGTACTATCCCTTGAACAGGCAACAAATCGTGATATTGTCCTCACAAGAGTTAATATTTAAATATTTGCTATTTTCGTCTACATCATACCTTTCTAAATAAAGAATTTTACTGTTAGTACAGTTTAGTATTACACTTTAAAAATGCAGTGAGAGCCCACTAAAATAATAGTTATTGGTTAATTTGTCATATTTTTTTTTTTCTAATTCTTTCATAATTTCTTATAAACCCACGACACTGCTTTTTATAACGTGTAAATAAATAAATAAATACAATTTGTTAATTTCTAGTTTATGACTGTTCTGACACAGTTGCATTTGCCGGATTACTCAATTGTTAGACGTTGATGGTAAGTCAAAAAGATGACGTGTAACATCGGCGTATGACTATGAGTTTCATACAACGTACACGCTGTCACAGCTGTTTTACTAAATCAATCAATTCACGTCACTCGACCATGGTATCTAGACAGTACAAAAACACTTTTCTCATTGAGGAAAACTTTTGAAACTTCGCCTATGAAGACTTTTCAAACTACCAGTCAAGTAAACATCAGCAAACTGAAACTAAATGATTAGGTTTACATACCTGAATCCCCGACAACGAGAATGCGAACTTTATCAATATCGATGGCGGCCATTTTGAAATTATGTTTTTTTCATTGCATTGTGGGTAGATGAATAACTGTTTGTTTTAACAAAATATCGTCAAAGTTGTTAAATTGCTAGTGAAAAATTGTTATCCTAATTCAAATACCACGATTACATGAACAGATTGCATATTCGTCCATTTTAACGGGTTTCAGTCAGTTGACCCGGAAGTAGAACCTTTCACGTGTATGACAACTGAAGTGAACTGACAATGACAAGAAGGTGTTGATCTGCCGGGGATTTGATAGAAATATGCTGACTTTGTTAATTTTAGTCTGATAAATTTCACAAACACAGGTATGTGCGCACGCCTGTTTAGTGATGTGACTTTCGTATTATTCACAATTAATCTAATTTATCGACAAAAAGGGAACGTTTAAGTGGTCATCGAGAATTGATTTGTTACGTATATGTGAACTTTCCCACTGCGTATTGTTCAATAATATTTCCGACTTTATTGAATATGATTTAGTTTTATTCGCAGTTACTTGGTGTCAGGTTGTACTTCGGGAACTTGAAAGTGTCTGTCTAAAATATGCTAATAGGATGATTTTGGGCATTATACATTGTATTTGACAAATTAATTGTCAAAGAACAAAAGAAAACGGGGGACGGTCGATTCGTCCCAAATCACATTCGTCCCAAGTCGTTTCGTCCCACAAGTTAATTCGTCCCAAGTCAATTCGTCCCACAAGTTGATTCGTCCCAAAGTCGATTCGTCCCACGCACTGTTTTTGCCGACGTTATATACAAATACACCTTATATGCAACGTAGAGTTATTAGTTAATAAAAACAAATACACCTTACACGCAACGTACAACTTATTAGTTAATAAATACAAATACACCCAAGTTATTAGTTAATAAATACAAATACACCGTACACGCAACGTAGAGTTATTAGTTAATAAATAAATAAATACAAATACACCGTTCACGCAGCGTGGAGTTATTAATTAGCATGACACACGTAACAGTTGGCATAGAAATTGACCCTGCTCAAGATCGTAATGCTGACCAAAAATTAAATAAATTGGACGAATGTGAATTGGGACGAATGTGAAATGGGACGAATGTGAATTGGAACGAATCGACTCGTGGGACGAATGTGAATTGGGACGAATCGACTTGTGGGACGAATGTGTTGGGACGAATGTGAATTGGGACGAATTGACTGTGAATCGTGTCGGTAGATACTCCCGCTGTACTGTCTTCGTGCATTTTGCGGCATTTTTCATCCTACCATATAAGGAAATGTGAATTTCAAATATGAAATGATTATGCAGACTGCCACAGCAAGTTGCAACGTAGCCCTGAGTACAGTCCTGTAGGTTGGCCTCCTTCCGCTGATCATTCGGCCCCCACAGTCCTGAGAAGTCGCATAGAGCAGGGATTCGACACTATTGTGAAGGAATGTATTGGGCGATTTAAGAGGCATTCAGCTTTGCAGTTAAAAAATAAGCAGGTCGTCACGTCTAACTATTCTGTATGCCTTAACTGGAAGTGAAATTACATAAGATTTTCTACTCTAGTCGATCAAATCGACATTTT